CTTCCCTGCCTATGCAGGGGGTCGGACTCGATGATCTATTGAGTTCCCTTCCGACCCTAACATCTATGAATCTATGGAAGCCCAGATGTGCTTGGGAAAGCTAGGTTTTGGTGGCCTTCCAGCACCCTGTGCACTATCCCTGCTGCCTTCTCCCACCACCAGCACACCCAGCTGCCCTCCTGCCACTTTGCTGCACTGACCCAGGGGCAAGTCAGCCCGTTCCCAGGGGGTCCCAAGCACTGGGAAGACATCAGGGATGGTGCACAGGGTGCTGGAGCCTACCTGCCTCTCCCACAGCTGCAGGGTGAGCTGCTAGCACCCCAAATGGTCCCTGACCTGCAGGGGGCCCCAGTCCTTCCCTGCGCAGTGGTGGTGCCCCTGGGCAGCACCCACCCACTAGTAGCCCACCCGGGTGGTCCCAGGGGGTGCCACTGCCGCAGAGGGAAGGACCAGGACCTCCCACAGCTCAGGGACCATTTGGCCTGCCAGCAGCTTGGCCCCCAGCCACAGGAGAAGGCTTTGGGGGAAAAAAAGGATCAGGCCCCTCATGGCTTTTTTTTTTCTCCTGGAGCCTGCCTACATCTCCCACAACTAGGGGACGAGCTGCTGGCAGGCCAAGCAGCCCCTGAGCTGTGGGAGCCCCCGGTCCTTCCCTCTGCACCAGCAGTGCCGCCTGAGACCACCCAGGTGGGCTGCTAGTGGGTGGGTGCTGCCCAGGGGGTGCCACCACTGCAGAGGATTTTGGATCCTGCAGTTCAGGGCCCACTGACAGCTCACCCCTTGGCCATGGGAGAGGCAGGCAGGCTTTGGGAAAAATAAAGATTGGGCCCTCACCGCTTTTTTTTTTTTCTGGCAGACCTGCCCCTGCTAGCTGGGGGGGGGGCACGCAGGGGCGGGCATCACTGTGACGTGATGGAATTCCCTTTATTGAAATAATGGGTTTTTAATTGACACAATGAAAAACCCACCATTTCAATTTACGGAGAACTAAAACCCCATCATGTGTACAAGTACCTTCAGACACCAGAACTGGATACAGGATTCTAATATCTACACTAATGCTGAGTATAAAGATAATATAACCTACCTACTCTCCTATTTTATCTAGTCCCCTGTTTATACATCAACTATCACATTAGTCTTTTTAATCACAGAGCTGCACTGGAAGCTCATGTATTCATCATGAACCCCAGCCCTTTTTAACAGCCTTTCACAAGACACAGCATCGACTGACACAGAACAGGGTCAAACAATTGAACCAAATGAACAAAATGTAATTTGGAGTGCAACACCTTGATGAACTGAGGCAAAATGGTGTGGTGTTAGCCTCTTACCTGGCTAAACTGGGAGATATGTAGGTCTATATTCTATGCTACAAGATATCACCAAAGGCACTGGCTGTCTGTGACTGGCATCCATTGGCGAGATTGCACTCTCCCACAGATTAACAATGATCTGGTTATACTACTAGCTAATACTTTGGCATTCAAAAGCACCTTTCCCCCATTAATTTTAAAGCACATCAAAATTAAAATATGTATGCAAAGATATTTTCCCAGAAGTCCTCTAGTGTTGAGAGAGGTGAAGGGAATTGAAATTACACTGGTGCACTGTGGCTTGTGGATAATTTTTTGGAAAATGTAAAGACACTCATGGAAGATTGTGTAGAAGAATAAGTAACTAAGTAACTATAAAAGACCATGTTATACATGTACAGTTGAAAAGGCAGTGTAAAAAAATATAATCTTAACAAAAATGCCAGCTAATTGTCTGAGTGGGACAGACAAACTGAATGTATTTATAGTACATAGAAAAGAGTTAATTAACCAAAAACCACCCAAAAATCTTCAATCTATATTTAAAATGTTCTATTGATAGTCAAATATTTAAGGACTTAAAATATTTAGGGGTTTTAGGTCAAATCAAACATTTAGAGCTTGGAGATTAGGAAGAACTTTCTCACTACAAGGGGTGGTTAAGTACTGGAGCAGGCTACTGAGAGAGGTTGTGGAGTCCCCATCCTTGGAAGTTTTCAAGAGCAGATTGGAGAGACACTTCACTGGTATAGTTTATAGACAGAGATGATCCTGCAATGAGCAGAGAGCTGGACTAGATGGTCTCATGAGGTCCCTTCCAGTCCTACGTTCCTATGATCTTACAGAACGATTTGACTTTACTTTCAAGAAGTGTTAAATAAGAGTACTTGAACGTATGTTGTTAAATGACTTAGTGTTACAAAATAGACTTAAAGGTGTAAAAGCTGTCACACTTGGATGTTGTGGGTTACCTTCAACTCTAATTTACAGTGGTGTAATCCAGAACCAATCTAAACAGATGTTCCTCTCTGACATCTGCAAGTACAGACTTTGGATACAAGAGAACAGAGAACCTCTATGGAAACCAGGGAAAAAAAAGTTAAAAAACAAACCAAAAATTACCCCCTCCCCCCAGGTATTATTTACATAACTAATAACTTTTTTTAAAGAAAACATGATTTACCTCAACTGCATTTTGGCATGATCTAAACACTCCTGTTCCTGCAGCGTACATCTGGCCCAAGTAATAAACAGCAATAGGTTGCCCATTTTGAGATGCCACGTAAAAATATTTGAAAGCAAGTTTATAGTCTTTCTTGACTCCAGTGCCAGCTGCAAATCAGATTTAGATTGGAACCTTTATTTTTTGTAAATATATCGATACCAGATTAATGCCTGGTCCTTACATACCTAAGGGACCATCTCCTCCTCTATGTCCCATGCAAATCTCTAAGGTGAGTCAAGAGCAACCACATACAAGGTATCTCTGTATGCCACATTTGTGCAGTGCAAACATGTGGGATGTCATTTTCAGGAGTCACGCTTCAGTTTTGGAACTTCCACCCCCTTGCAGCCCATCAGAAGTGTTAAAAGACCATATCTGCGTAGGCTTTTAGCAGGGAGGGTTAAGTCATAGACTGTTATTTAGGGCACTGTTTGGGGAATTGTTTTATTATTTATTATTTTTTCATCTTGTTTATTATTCTTTCATATTTTATCTGTTTTAGGATTTATCTTGTTTTATTGTAACCCACTCTGAGCCTTTTGGGGGGAGGGATGGCATATAAATCAAATAAGTACATACATAAATAGATAATACAGTTTTTTGGTAAAGACACAAAACTTACAGTGATACATGATTCCTAGCTGGAGCTGTGCATCTGCCAGACCTTTCTCAGCTGCTTCTTCAAAGTACTTAAAAGCTACAGTGTAGTTCTGAAAGGTAAAGTACCCTCTGTTGTAGAAAGTTCTGTGAATCTTCCCTCATGGTAAAAATTCAGTACTCAGAAAAGAGACAAAAATGTTTCATTTTTGAGTGGCAGTGTTTAATGGCAGAATGTTAGTTGTACCCCATTAAGTGAAAGGAACAAAAAAGTCAAATCATATTTTTCTCCAATGTGCAGGTTGCTTACTATGCGAAACCCTAACTGCATTCTGATCTCAGATTAGTTTTCCACAGTGCAATGCCATGGAGTTCAATGAAATAATTCACATTTTTTAAACAAATGTAAATAGAATCAAGTTCATTTTGTTTTCATTCTTCTCCTTGCACTCTGGCCTTGATTCTTCTTCTGTCTTACATGAGTATAAAGCAGGAAAAATGCCATGAAAAATGCACAATGATGTATTCAGAGTACAACAAAAACTGTCAGACTTGCAGTGGTACAAGGCTATTTGTTTAAATTAAATTCTAATTTAAATGATACACTATTTGTGTTCTAGTCTCCTATTAAAGGAGATTATAGTGGACAATATCCATCTAAAGATAATACTGATTAAACATTTTAGTATTTCTGACTTTTACTAGTTACATTGTAAGAAACATGTTTGAAGTGACAAAAATAATTCTTACCAATGGGACTCCTCTTCCTTGGAAATAAAGAAGACCTAGTCCCCATATTCCAACAGCATTGCCCTAAAATAATGTATTATTTGCTTTTATTTCTTCAGTAAATACATTTTAAAAATTCTTGTCTTAAACAAAAATGTGTAAAACAGGGCTGTCCACCTTGTAAGTGGCTGGGAGCTGCACACCAGTGTGGGCTGAACCAGGTGGGGCCACACAGCATGCAAGCCACACCAGCACAAGCCACAGACCATCTAGGACACACACCATGTTGGCATCCCTCCCACTGAACTGTGCCACACAGGTGTCCCAGCTACACTGTGCCTGTGGGCACCCTGCCCCCACCCTCAGCTTCCCAGCCACTGCTTCCCCCAACTGCACCAGCTGCTGTGAACCATGGGCTCCTCCAGCACTATACTCGCTGGGATGGGAGTGGAAGCCAGAGGAGGGAGGGGAGCTAGGAGATTTGTCTACAGCAGACTGGAGCAACGGGGGCAAGCAGCAACCGTGTGTGAACCTGGGGGCTGCAAACTAACCTACTGGAGGATCATACAGCCTGCAGGCTGTCAGTTGGACTGCGCTGCTATAAAATAGCTGCTAACTATTATTATTTACACTTACCTTGTACTATTTATATAGGGAACTTAGAACTATGAACTCAGATACTAATTTATAGACCAACACTAAATTAGTACTTCCAAGCTGATGAATCTCATGGGACCCTGGAACCTAAAAAAACAATGTGTAAAGATGCAATAGGACTTGTTTCTACCTTAAGGGTGCATGCAGGGAGCATACTCTGCATGATATAAAGTCTCCCCTCTCATGTGAGAAGTGCTCTCGATCATCGTTGCAGTAGTGACACTGGTCTTGAATATTATGGAAGCTCCTTAAGGTCTGGATCAGCAGTGGTCTGCTGGTCTGACATTTTTAACTGAAATGTCCTGAATCATTGGAACTGAAATACTTTGTAGAGACTTAAATTCAGTGAAGTTTCAATAGACCCCTACCTGCCAGACAGGGTCCCATCACATATGTGCTTGGTTTCTGACCAACTTACTCAGCTCTTGGCAAGCACCTGGGTCCTCCTAAGCCAGGGCTTCAGGGTCCTTGGCTCCAGGGCAGACTGCCATGTGGATTGGCTTGGAGTTGGAGACTGTGGCAGTGTCCACACAAGCATAGACATTTGTTTCCCTAGGGACAAGTAGCAGTGGCACACACTTCTCCCTCAGGAATAGTTGTGCCATGTGTGGAGAGAGATTCTGTGTGAACAGTCCTGGATACTGCATGTGACTGTAGGTGAGATGTGTCTTTCATTCTTCAGAGGGGCCCAAAGCCAACTCTCCTCCCAAAAAAGAAATCCTTCTGAAGAAGAGGAAATAGTCCCTCTTCATTTCATTACACACAGTTATGTAGTTTCAAGGTTCAGATGGAGCCAGCCCAAACTAGAATTTTGAAAGTCTGTATTTACTACAGTTTCAACAACTATTTGCTTTTTGTTACTCAGTTCACATGATCTTATTCCAATTCATAAGATATTTAGCAGAAACAGTTGTGTTCTGGCCAAAGCAAATAGTCAGTAATGAATGATATATGTAAGCCAGCTCATAAAAGCAAACAGTCCTATACCATCTTAGCTTCCTTGTCTTGATTGTTTTCTTAATGGTTTCTTGAAAGTTATGTTGTTCATCCTTTGCGAGCGAAGATGACTGCATCCGGGGGGGAGGGGGGGAGAAGGGGGAGAAGAGAGAAAGGAAGCAGGAAAGAAAAAGGAAGGGAGAAAAGAGAAAGGGAGAGAAAAAGGAGAAAGAAGAGAGAGGAAATAGAGAGGAGCGGGGTGGAGGCTAGGTCACGTGGGTACGCAGGTGACTTATAAGCCCTATCTTTGCCCTGAACAATTTGCTGCAGTTGGGGTAGGAGAGCAATGAGGACTGGACACAAGAAGTCCTCGTTTTCCTAGCCACACACTTCCTTGCTGCCTCTGCCGTGCGCTGCTTGAAGGCCAGTGCTCCACTTCGGACCGATGACCTCCATGATGGATGGTCACGAGTGATTTGCTCCCACAACCCTGGGTCAATGCCAAAACTCTTTAGAGACATCTTTAGGGTGTCCTTGTACTGCTTCTTTGGTGCACTGCGAAAGTGTACTCCATTTAACAGTTTGCCATAGAAGATTTTCTTCAGCGACAAGTGTTGGGCATTCTTGAAAGGTGGCCGGCCCATCTTAGCTGCATCAGTTTCAGTAGGGTATGGATACAGGGGAGAGCTGATCTTCTGAGCACCTTGGTGTCTGGAATCTTTTCCTGCCACTTGATCTTTAGTATCTTTCACAGGCAGCACAGGTGGAAGTGGTTGAAAGTTATAGTATTGTATAAATTACACAAGCACTCCTGCTATACTCCATTAGTGGATAGATCATCTTGTTAGCTTCTTCTGTTGTGTCTTGGTGCTATGCTACCTGTGATATATGTATTCTATATTCATTACACATTATATAGTATTGTGTGATCCCCATTACATTTGATCACAATGGAATGAGGTAAGAATGAAGTGAACATAATTCATGATTTATTAGCTATGTTAATTTCTGCCAGAATCTTCGCTTTTTTCCTGCATTAGCAGGAAGATGATGAGAATAGGTCTTTCCCTCAACTTTTTATGATCCGTGTGCTCTTAAACCTTATTTAACATATAAAAGCTCAATGGAAACCTGTTTCTCATCTACTTTACTCAGATATATCTTCATTTTTATAGTTTCTGTATGAAGCTGGATGGAAATGTTGGCTTCATCTTTGACATTCAACAGTACAGCATGTACTTTTGGACTTGTCCTCTGAAAAGAATATTTGTATATACACAAATGGCTCCTAAATTGCAAGATCTGCTTGTTTCTATCAAACAGGCTCCAGTGTGTCAATGGGCACTTGATACTTCTCATCCATTCTACACTTAGTGAGATCTTGAGATGCAATTGAGCTTAATGAGAATTGAGGATAATTAGCACCTTGCAGAATTGATTCTTAATTTGCACACAATCAGTTCTTCCGCCTGCTCCTATTTGGCAACTTTTCTGCTTGGTTTTCCCATTACCCAGACATAACCAACTGTTCTAAAAATAACCAGCTATACAACTTGATTATATTTCGTATACTCAGAAATGTGCCATACTTAACAGCGTTCCATTAAATGGGTTGCCTGGTTCTTTTTCCATTAAGGAAGAGAGGTGCAGATCACAAATACCTTCTCAAAATATATAAAAAAAGGAAGAGAGAATTTTTCATTACAGTACCTTTTCAGCTGCCATTGTGAAGTATTTAAATGCAGTAGCATTGCTCTGTATCACAGCAACACTTCCTTCTAAAAACATCTTGTTGATATATAGAAAAGAGAAAACTCTTTCTTAGTTATGTAGCATGGATTCTTGCCTATCCAGAGTTTTCCAAAGAACAGGTCAAATTCAGTTCTCATTTACCCTAGCAAGCCTACGTACTGCTCTTACTCATACCAGTGAAGTTAATGGTATGGTACAGGTGACACTCAGAGCAAACTGCCTGTTTTCTCCCATTCATGAGTCTAATACTTAGTTTCTAAAATGGTGATAATTATAGAGCCAAATTAATTACTTGTTTGCAACTTAGAAAACATTCCTTTAAATTATTTTCCATCTTCCTTGAGACCAACATTTTCAGCTGAGACTAGTGATTATGGATGCCTCCATTTGAGTGCCCATTTTATAGGGGAATGATGTTCAGAAACAGATGGAACACCAGCCCCATGAAAATACGGTCCTTTTAAGGAATTACAATCAAGCATTCAATAACTGAGGCATTCCCAATTATTACTCTGAAAAATCTTAGCCTTGGTAGCTTCAAGACATTTCCTTCTTTCCC